GGTCGGCGCATGGCCCCGTGTCAGGGCGGACACTGATGGCCACGCCGACGGATACCTCGACGGCAACGCTCCCTCTGCTCGCTGAGGTCGGTGAGCTTGCTGAGGACGACGCCGAGGTCGTCCACCCTTCCTCTACCCCCCCTGCCCCTCCCCTCGTCGACCTGCGTGGGCTGACTCCGCCGTCGGCCTCCGGCGATGAGGGGAGCTGTGGGACGTCGCCTGTGGCGCCGATCAAGGGCATCGCCGGTGGCCGACAGGACGAGCGGCAAGTCGACGAACAGCAGGTCAACAAGCCGGTCGACCTGGGAGTGCAGTCAACTTGGATAAGGGGGGAGCCGGTCGAGGAGGTGCAGCCGACTAGGGTGCAGCCGACAGGGGAGCAGGCAGCAGCGAGGCCGACCAAGGAGCAGTCGGCGACCTGGCAGTCGGCAGGGGAGCTGACCGCAGGGGAGCAGTCGGTCGGGACGCCGACCGAAGTGCAGCAGGACGACGAGGATGGCGGTGAAGATGAAGGGGAGCAGTTGGGCGACGAGGAGCCGGTCGACCAGAAGGTGGTCGACCAGTCCACCGACCGGGACGTGGTGGTGGTCCCTCCTGAACCCCGGAAGTCTGGTCGACTTCGGAGGCCGCCCGACTTCTTCATCCCCGCTGCCTTCACCACGGTGTACGACGTGGAGGACGACGATGACCTGCCGTACGACGACGCTGATGAGGACAAGGAGTTTCCGGAGCTCGACCCCGACATGCTGGCCGACCCCGAGCACCGTTGGGACATCGCGACGATGTCGGTGAAGGAGGCGTTGGCGAGCTGGAAGGGTCCGGCGGTGAAGGCCGCCATGGAGGAGGAGATCCGCAGTCTCCTCGCCATGGGCACGTGGAAGCTGGTCGAACGCCCGCCGGGAGTGAATGTCATGAAGAACCGGTGGGTGCTGACGACGAAGTACAACATCGACGACACCGTCGAGCGGGAGAAGGCGAGGCTGGTCGTGAAGGGCTTCACGCAGGTGTACGGCGCCGACTACGACGAGACGTTCGCGCCGGTGGGCAGCTACGTGACGCTGAGGATCTTCCTCAGCATCGTCGCCGTGCTCAACCTCAACCTGATGCAGCTCGACATGAAGAACGCCTTCCTGCAGAGCAAGCCGGATTACTTCAACGACGGAACCGGCCGGGTGTGCAAGCTGCTGAAGAGCCTGTACGGGCTGAAGCAGTCGCCGCTGCTATGGTACTTGGCGCTCAACGACGTGCTGGTCGACGCTGGGTGGAAGAAGAGCCAGGTCGACGAGGCCCTCTACTTCAAGGTCGGCGACGATGGAGCGACTTGCTGGGTGCTGGTCTACGTCGATGACTTGCTCGCCGCCAGCAGCAGTCCTGCGATGCTGAAGGAGCTGAAGGAGCTGCTGGAGGCCGCCTTCGAGTTGCGCGAGATCTCGCCGGTGCAGAAGTACCTCGGGCAAGAGATCGCGCGCGACAGGTCGGCGGGGAAGCTGTGGCTGCACCAGCAGGGCTACGCCGACAAGCTGCGTAGGCGCTTCATCGACGAGGAGCAGGGCGGACGGACTCCGAAGACGCCGGTCTCGGTCGACGCCTACGCCGAGCTCACCTTCGATGACGAGGAGGCGCAGGAGCGACAGGAGGAGGAGTACCGGCAGAAGGTCGGCTCGCTGCAGTTCGCGGCGACGACGACGAGGCCGGACATCGCCTTCGCCTGCAGCAAGCTGAGGAGCGGCCTCACGGTGAGAAGCGACCAGCACTGGCGCGAGGTCGACCGCTGCCTCGCCTACCTCGCCAACACGCGCGACACCGCCCTGGAGTTTGGCGGTGGACCTGAGTCGCTGGAGCTGGTCGGCTACGTGGACGCCGACGACGCCGGTGACAAGCAGAGCAGGACGAGCACGGGCGGCTACGTGTTCGTCTACGGAGGGGCCGCGGTCTCTTGGTCGAGCCAGCGCATCAAGTGCGCGACGCTGTCGTCGACCGAGTCGGAGTACGTGGCGGCCGTCGAAGCCGGCAAGGAGGGACGCCGACTTCGCTTCCTCCTCGCAGAGTTCCAGCAGCTGGATGCTGGGAAGCCGACCGTCCTTCGGGTGGACAACAAGTCGGCCATCACAGTCGCCGAGGGCATGGGGTTGACGGGCAACCTCAAGCACATGGAGCGGCGACAGGCCTGGCTGCAGCACATGGTAAAGCGGGGGAAGTTTGCGCTGCAGTACATCCCGACCGCTGAGCAGCCGGCCGACTTCCTCACGAAGGCGCTGCACTATCCGGCCTTCAACCGGTGCTCCGTTGCAATCGGCCAAGTGCGTCTGGCCGACGTGGGCGACGGCGACGACGAAGTGCAGCAGTAGGTGCCATGCCCTTTTGCATGGCTGGTGCGGTGGATGACGTGCTGTGTGTTGGGTGCACGTCGACGAGCTGTTCTCCGAGAGGTGCTGTCGTGTGGGCTGGGGGGGCCCAAGCGTGAATGCGGCAGGGGAGTGTCAACGGGAGTTGGGTGTTGGCCCCGTCCTCGCTTGGGCGGAGCCGACTTCCTGGTCGGGTGTAGGGGTGCAGCCGACCTGCAGTAGTGGGCGAGCCGGTCGACGGGGTTGGTCGACCTGCACGGAAGCCACTGCAAGGGCGCCGACTTTGGGAGGGCGCCAACTTCGAGTGGTCGACTTGAGAAGTCGACCTGCAGAGGGCGTCGACTTGGGGACGCCGACCTGGGGTAGCCGACTTGGGTGGTCGGCCAACAGGAGTGCTGGTCGACCTGGAGGTGGTCGACAAGGAGTGTCGTCGACCTGGAGTTGGTCGACCAGAGGGCGTGGTCGACCTGGTGAGGTCGACTGGAGGTGGCCGTCGACTTGGGAGGTCGACAGGCACGCACAGGAGCACCTGGTCGACGTGGTTGCCCGGTCGACCAGGTTACCTGGGTGACGAGGGTCTGCGAAGGCACGCGAAGGTCGCCCAGGCGAGGTTGGCAAGGACGACCCCGGTGGTGGTATCCCGAGGTCGACCTGGCAGATGAGATGCAGTCGTCAGCACAAGGTGGACTTGGTGCGTACGCTGTGCAGGTGACGAAGCAGTGCGCGCCAATCATCTACGAGCACCTGCGAAGCTGGTGCGATGCTGGACTGCAGGAGCAACGCTGGCACGCCGTCGACTTGCGCTGTTGTCACACCATCGACCTGCAGCGTTGGCAAGCCGCGTCTCTGCACTGCTGGAACGCGGTCGACCAAGTCGTGCTGGCACGCGGTCGACCGTGCTGCGCTGGCAGTCGACCTGCTTGCATCCTAGCTCTGATGTAGTCTTTCCTAGCCAACTTCATTGTATCAATTATCGGTTGTCCACTTTCTCTAGTGAAACTCTTGCCAAATTGCCTTGTGAACTAGCAAGCAGTGAGTACACTAGGAAACGACTAAGGAACAGAGAACGCAGAGATCACACGAGCATCCGTGCCTAGCCCGTAGTCTAGCTCCCGTTACTAGATTTATCTCCGCATTAACAACCTCTGCAGCCAACCGTCGTGTAGTCACTAAACCAACCACACCCTATGCCACCAAACTACCCTCGAAAAGCGGGGTGAACTAGGAAAGTAGCTCTGATACCAGGTGTTATGAGTTGTAAAAGAGAGTACGCAGGTAAACGAATAACGAGACTGTGACTGAATCTATCCAGAATACAATGAATGCACAGACTAATACAGGGCTAGCCTAGCTAGGAGGAAACCTCGGGTGAGCGAGGTTGGGTGCAGGTTTGGCTATGGGAATGCCAAAAGCGACGCGAGGAGCTTCGGCAGCGTGGAAATCGCCCGAACGTGCGAACTCCGAAAATCGGGTTGTACGCGCAGTAGTCAACCCCGATAAGGAATTCGAGAAAATTCCTTACAGTCTAGCCTGCTTGACCTCCCCATCGCGCACCTTTCTGTCTTTGCCACGGGTCGTAACAACCAGCCCGCAGCTCCTTTCAGCATCGCATTGCTGCCTTGCCTGGAAACGCTCAAATTCACGAATTTCACCCCTCCATTCGACTTGATGTTTCCTCTAGGATCACCCCCATGCCTTCGCCTGCAGCAGCTGCTTCTCACAAACTGCCCGAAGCTTACACACCTGCCCGACGACATTGCAGATCTGCTCCCCTCCCTCCGCAAACTAGTCATCCATGGCTGCCGTTACTTCACGCAACTGCCTGAAACCTTGCCCTCTCTGACCCGTTTGGAAGTCTTGGTTATCGCCGCAACGAGCCGCCGATTCAGCCTTCCCAGCAACTTGGGTCATCTGCCCGCTCTCAAAACACTCGCGCTCAAGTCGCTGCCTCTTTATTCCCTCCCTAGTTCCCTCTCCGAGCTCACCTCCCTCAACACTTTAGTCCTCGACGATTGCTACCAGGTTCGCCAGCTTCCTGCTGGTTTCTGCCGCCTCCCTGCTCTCAAGACCCTCTGTATCAATTTCCTTTTCGAATTCACGTTCCCAGACGACATTGGGCAGCTCACCAGCCTTGCCACTCTCAGCTTCACGAGCTTCCGTATCCAACAGCTCCTCCCAGCCTCGTTGACCGCGTTGACTGCGTTGACCAGCCTACAACTGCTTGACTGCGAAAGACTTGAGCTTCTTGATGCGTTGGGAGAGCTGAGTAACCTGTCGGAGCTGAGCATACAGGCATGCCCCATCAGTGATCTTCCACAGTCCATCACTCGACTCACCCATCTGGAACGCCTGACGGTTGCTCATTGCCGGCGGCTTTCATGGGTGCCCCGAAGGCTGGATAGTCTCAAGAGGCTGAAGCAGCTGCAGCTGACATACTGTGAACAGCTGAGCCACCCTCCTGCCATTCTGCCGTGCTCTCTTGAGTTCCTAAGCATCATATGGTCTGCCAACCAGCCCACGCCACTGCCAGACGTGTCTGGGCTGTCCCAGCTGAGGGAGCTGGAGCTGCAGGTCAGTGGCCACCAATTGCTCCCGCAGCTGGAAAGTACTGCTTTGGCGCTCCCACTCCCCTTCTCCCTGCGCAGACTGACAATCATGGGACATGGAATCAAAAGGCTTCCGGAAAGCATCGGGGCAGCGGTGCCGCAGCTGCGGCAGGTGAGGCTGGAGCAGGTGGCATCGCTGGAGGAGGTGCCAGGCAGCATTGGGCAGCTCCGGCAACTCACAGCCCTGGACATCCACGCTCCCAGGCTGGCTTCGCTCCCTGATACCATTGGTGCGCTGTCCCGCCTGTGCGTGCTCAATTTATCACATTGCCAAGGCCTGCAGCAGCTGCCGGCTTCTCTCACGCGCCTTGCCTGCCTGCATGATTTGAATGTGGCTTCCACCTCCATCTCCGTGCTGCCTGCTGGCTTCGCGCACCTCACCAGGCTGAGGGGCCTTTCCCTGAAAATTTGTCCGGAGCTGCAGGGTTTCCCGGAGGATTTCACGCAGCTGACAGCGTTGCGGCATCTGGTGATAAGCGGTTGCCGGCAGGAAATCCAAGGCTGGCTGAGAATGGATGGCCATGGGAAACTCGATTGGCTGCTTGTCACCTTGTAATGGCATGGTGTGGTGTGGTGGTCTGTCCTTTCTTTGAGGCCGCTCGAAGTTGATTTGTTGTTGTGTGCCGTGATCTATTTTTTTTTGAAATATTTGGGGCATGCACAGAACAGAGAAATATCAATCTTGACATCATGGTAGAGGAACTACAGTACTGCTCAACATTTGCGGTACATGTTGAAAGAGTGTTTAGCACCAGTCTCAACAGAGCCAGAGTAGACAAAATTGAATTCACTTACACCATATTCATACAGCAGCACCTACACTGACAGTGACGTCATTGCCATATTATTGGGCTTATCATGGATTCCAGAGAAGAAATGTTACTTGTGAGCATTCAGATCATCACATTTCGGCCCCGTCTCAATCTTATCGATCCGAGCTCGGAGCCGCCCTGCCAGCTCGTCATTCGGCCCACCGCTCTCTATCCTGCTCGACCGCGCCGAACCCATTGCACTGCCTCCCACATCCACAGCCTGCTTCCCACTGCCACCCTTGAACACAGCTCCCGACCCAGCAGCACCACTCCGTCCTTCCCTTGCCACTTGCCCCCTGGGGCTGATAACACCACACGCTCCTCCCGCACCTCCAGTCTGCCCCACCCCAGCCGGCGACAGCAGCGGCGCCCCATCCACCGCAGCACCGTGCATGGCGCCTGCAGCCGAGGGAAACGACTCGATCCTGTCCAGTCTCGCCTGCAGCACCCCTGTGAGCTCCGCATCCGGCCCGTCTTCCCTCAACTCCAGCGCTGCTGCTGCCGCTGCTCGGTCGCTGCTAGAAGCGGTGGTGGGGAGGGTCATGCGGCGCAGCACGGCGAAGTCGAGCGCCTCCCACACCTCCTCCACCACGCCCTCCGTGCCTGATGCTGCTGCTCGCTGCGCTGCTATGCGCCGCGCGTTCAGCTGTGCCTCGTTGGTGAGTAGCTGATGCACCGCTGCTTGTAACTCGTGCTCGTCCGCCACCTGGCAGGATGGGATTGGCCGCAAAAAGAAAAGGGTAAAGAAATAGAAGTTCAGCAGCTTCCTTGAATGGCCTCACCCAAGCACCCAGTGTAACTTCCCTCACTGCCTTAGGCAGGGCTCCCTCACTTCTGTCACTCCATCCCAGTATCTGCTCTTGTTGCTCTCCAAGGCCTCCTCATTTCCTCCCACTTCATCCCACCACACCTGCCATCCCACCACACCTGCCATCCCACCACACCTGCCATCCCACCACACCTGCCATCCCACCACACCTGCCATCCCACTGCACCTGCCATCCCATCCCATACCTCCAAGAGGGGCAGACAACAGACAAACAAAGAGGGGCGGTATACCTGCCACACAGAAAGGGGCGGCATACCTGCCACACAGAAAGGGGCGCCACTTGCTGCAGCTGCTGCAACACCGAGGTGAAGTGACCCAGATGGGGACCTGAGGACGGTGTGGGGCGAGGGAGAGAGAGGGATGGCATCCATTCACTCACACCAGGCTGCAGTACCGCAGAGAAAAGAGAGCTCGCAGGCACCAACACGCGTTCCCAAATGTGGTCCACTCGTGACCGCGCACGGGTAGACTAATGTCCAACAGCAGCAAGTTAACAACAACAAGCGTGTTAGGGAAAAGGAAAGAGAAATTACAGTATAGTACCCGCCTTGTGCATAGTTATATAGAGATGTAGCACGCTCTAGTGAAATATTTTAAAAGTCAGCATAAGTCTATGATAGCCCATCATACAGCTGCAGCGAAAGAACCCACCAGTGAGCACGGCACAGGAGGAAACGGCAGGCTCAGCGATGTTGTGGCCGCCCAGACCGGGTAGCAGGGAGCCGCCCACAAAGGCGAGTGGAATGATGGAGTAGAGCAGCGTCAACTCGCCTGCTCGCATGCCATGCCCGCACATGCGGGCGAGGGGTGGGGAAATGCAGGAAGATGTATGGTGTAATGTGTGGTCAATATTCCCACAGTGGTAAGGTGCAAGCTTCCAAGGTTGTACACTTTGAATGACAAAATTGGAGCTCCAAGAAACGCAAATGCTTCAAATAAGTCACCATCCTCATACCCCAATGCCATCAGCACAAAGCAATGGTGTCGGCGACATAGAAGTCACATCCTGCCCCTTGGAGGGCACAGTTACTGGTGTAAATGGTGTGAGCACACACCTCAATGGTACCTCCACGTACCACAGCCACCAGGACACACCCCAATGCTATCCCCGCATGCATGGTGTCAGCAACATAAAAGTCAGTGTCGCTGGTCGCAGCGTGCCCCTTAGCGCAGATTCGCTGTCACCAATGGTATCAGCACATACCAACCCCAGTGGCATCCCCACCTACCAGTGTCATCAGCACGCACCAATGGTGTCAGCGATATAGAAGTCAGTGTCGCTGGTCACGGCCTGCCCCTGGGAGCGCACAGCCACCTTCACTGGTTTCGCCCTCGCCTCCTCCGCTGTCATCCCCGGCTGCAGCGGTGGCGGGTGGTGCAGCTGTGATGACAGGAACTGGAGCAAGGGGAGAGGCAGCAAGGAGGGAGGGGAGGTTGGAGTGCAAGAGGAATGAGAGAGGTCGTTGCAGAGTCTGGAGCCACAGCACTGTCTGCAGTGGTGGCGGATGGTGCAGCTGCGAGGACAGGAACTGGCCAATGGAGACGAGGGAAGGAAACGGGGAAGGAGGGAGTGCATCAGGGGTGGGTGGATGGGTGGTGATGGTTTTAGGAGGTTGCTAGCATGGAAGCTGTCACTGCCTTGCACAGCACATGAGCAACGCTGCAGTGGTTGGGAGAAGAAGACAGATGGCCGGTGGGGTGAGGAGATGAGTGGGTGAGCAGAAAAGACTGACGCAGCAGGGGAGAGGGCAGAGGATGTGGGTTCAAAGGAGGGCAGAAAGAATGCCGGATAAGTTGCTGGATCGTGGCCTTAATGAAAATGCCCGATAGGGCCTCAAGATGAGGGCGGGAGGACAGCTGCAAGCTCTAATCCCAGACTAGTACGTCATCCAGAAGGGAAATCAATCAGTAATCTCATCTAGGCGAGAGCACGAACATGTAACCATAGTAGCATGAAAACGGTAGCACACAAGCGATTCGGAGCGTACGCCCCCATTTCGGCTGTCATGCCTTGATCCGCAATCCAGAGCCTAGAATGAGAAATGGTCCCTCCTCATCTTGCACCTCACCTTGCCAATGCCCACCCCTCTGATGGGGTCGCGTGGCACGATGACAGTGAGCAGCCCAGCCACTCGGTGCTTCAGATTGCGGTGCACACGCAGGACAGCTGGGGGGGAGGAGGGGGGGCGGGGGAAGACTTGGTGGGTCCGTGCGCGGTATGTGGGCAGGCGGAGGTGATGATGGTGAGCAGCCCCGCCACGCGGTGCTTCAGATTGCGGTGCACGCACGCGCAGGACGGCTGGGGGGGAGGAGGGGGAGGGTGGGGGACAATGGGGTGGGTCCGTGCGAGGTATGTGGGCAAGTAGACGAGACAAAGGGGGTGGGAGCAACCACGCGGTGCTTTAGATTGCAGTGCACGCGCAGGACGGCTGGGGGGAAATGGGCTAGGGGGAAGTGGGAAGCATGAGGGAAATGGAGCTGACGAGAGGGGGGAAGGGAAGAAGGGTGGGGTTAGGAGAAAGATCCGATGGCAAGAAGAGATCGCTCAAAGGGGCACGCAGTGAAGCTTGCACACACACGTTCACCTCGCCTCCGCCGCTCTCTGGCGTTTGAGATGTCCCCACACACATTCATCCCCTGGCTCACCTTCCTCCTCGCCTGCGTGTGTGCTAGCAGCCAGCCACACCCGCCGCCCTCGCACCACGCGCCTCACCTCCTCCTCCTCCCCTCCCCTCGCCCTCGCCCCTCCTCTTGACCCCCCACTCTCCGCCTCCCCTTCCCTGCTGCTCCTGCTGCTGCCGTGGCTGCTCATGGTCGCTGCGAGGGGTGGAGAGCGGTTCAGCACGGTATAGACAATAAAGGAAAACGTGCTCGGGCTTAGAGGCAGGCAATGCGAGCAGGTGCGCTGTGTTGACATGGCTGTGCTGCTTCTAGTAGCAGAGGGGTCATGGAATGGAAAGGAGAGAGCCGTGTCGCATTGCATGAATAACGTGCTTTGAGACCAGGAAAGGAAAGAATACTCATGGCTTGCCATGGCTTGTGCAGGCGAAGAGGGAGAGGAAGAGCACGCGCAGGGTGATGGAGTGGCATAATGCTGGGCGAATAGAGGAGAGGATGGAGAGCGAGAAGGGTGGAAGCGAGTGGCACGTGACCCTACAACCATACTCCTGAGGACGCATGCACGCAACCATTCAACAACACCTCACACAACCACTTCTGCAAATGACCGCACCCGGCAAGACCAGCAGCAGCAGCATTGCAGCATGGCAGCATGGCAGCAGCAGCAGTGCATGAGAAGCATTGCAGAAGCCTGGCACTGGCAGCATGGCATGGCACGTACCGAACTTGAGGTTGCCGGTGTAGCGTGTGAGCATGGGGTTGGCGCCCAGGCGCTGATACCGTAGCCCCTGCTCCGTGCTCTGTGCACACATGCATGCAGGGGCGGAGGGGAGGAGGAAAGAGGGGGGGAAGGAGGGAGAGGGCAACAGAAGCGGATTGAAGAAGCGAGGAGGGGTGAAACAGCAGATGCGAGGCATGGAGGCGGGAAAGCAGGGAGGTATGGGGATGTGCACGGTGACGGTGACAAGGCATGGGCATGAAGCAAGGACGTGAGTGAGTGATGTGCGTGCGAGTGGAAGGCGGGAGGGGCACACGATGCTTGCACCCGCACATGAGGGAACACTTATGTCAATGCGTAAGGCACATGAGTCGCCACTTATATCAATGCCCAAGGGCCGTACGTGAGATTCGATTCCAAGGTGCGTACAGTGGTGGTGATGAGGGCGAATCGACCAATCATAGCGGAGACGAGAGGGAGGAAGAGCCCATCCATGGCGTGCCACCTGTCAAACGTTGATTGGGTCATGCGCGCGTTGAGCAGTGCAATGGGCACCTGCATGGGACGGCGGGGAGGAGAGGGGAAGAGGCACACTGAAGCACACAGAAACAACCAGAACGTTAAAGACTGTTCTCTCTGAAACACAACTGTCTGTGCCGCAGAGAGAAGGGCGATTCCCCCGCGACGTGCCGGACTGGAGCGCCTGAGAAGGGTGGGAGGTCTTGCAGCTTGCGCAGGTACTGCTGCTGTTACGAATACCTTTTCTGTAAATTGACATTTCATCAGCAGAGAATTGCGTGACTTTGAGCAGTAGCAGGTGGGAGGGCGTACCTTGAGCAGGCGTGGCGAGAGCAGGAGGTTGGGCCAGAGCTCCTGCTCCATGAACACTGCTGCGTTGGGCTGCCAGTGCGACAGGAAGCGCTCCACCGCTGCTGGCGCATCCACTGGCGCTAGCTGCATGTGGGACGGAGAGTGGCGGAGCGGGGCATAGGGAGAAGGGCCGATTGTGAGTCGACTGAAGGACGCGCTCTGCCGATGCTGGCGCTAGCTGCACGCGGGGTAGAGCAGAACGATCACATGGGGTAAGGGACAGAACGGAGAGGAGTGGATGGGAGTAACAGGTGGGGGAATAGAGAGCACAACCGATTTCGATTCGACTGGATTACAGGAAAGTGGTCCAGCGCTGCGATGATGAGCAGGGCGGTGATGAGCAGGGCGGTGATGAGCAGGGCGGTGATGAGCAGGGCGGTGATGAGCAGGGCGGTGATGAGCAGGGCGGTGATGAGCAGGGCGAGGGGGAAGGGCAGGGCGAAGGGGAAGGAAGGGCGAGGAGTGAGGGATGGAAGTGGAACAATGGAAGGGGATAATGAGAGGTGAGGCGGAAGGAGCGATGAGTAGTGTAGTGGGTATGAGGGGTGTTGCAGCAGCCATGCATGGTATGTTCATTTCCAACCTCCTGCGTGCGTGGCATGTGGCACACGTGGCATGTGGCACACGTGGCATGCAACACACCTGGCATATGACATGCGTTTTGGAGAAGGCTTTGGAGACAACAGACCTGCCGTGGGGCGAAAGGGGGAGAGGGGCGCAGAGGGGAGGGGGCAGAGGGGAGGGGCGCAGAGGGGAGGGGCGCAGAGGGGAGGGGACAGAGGGGAGGGGGCAGAGGGGAGGGGTGGGAAGGGACGCAGAGGGGAGGGGAAGGTAGTGACGCAGAGGGGGATGGGCGCAGGGGAGGTCGTATGGGTAAGGGGCGGAAAAATATACAAGGTAGTCGCAGGAGTGGGGAAGGAGCAAGAGCACGAGAGGGAAAACGCAAGGGGGCGGCGGCCCTATGGTGAAAGCGAAGACCCTAAATGCGTTTGAGTGGATGCATGCAGGATGATTCCGAAAACGAAGACCCAGACCCGATGGGTGGGCGCGGGAGAGCAACGAACAAGCGAACTGCAGACACAGTGGGGAAGAGAGAAGAGGAAGGAGAGAGGGGGAGGGGGGAGGAGGGGAAGGGGTTGGGGTGGGGTGGGTAGTGGAGGGGGAAGGGGAGGGGGAAGGGGAGGGCGAGGGGGGTCGTACAGCGCGAGGGCGTTGCGGGTGGTGAAGTGGGTGGGAGGGGAGGGGGAGAGGTAGATGGTAGACAGAGAGGGGGAGGGGGGGTAGGGGCGTACAGCGCGAGGGCGTTGCGGGTGGTGAAGAGCACTTTGAGGCGCGGCCGCTGCTGCATGCACTTGCGCACCAGCGGAATCGCGATCGCGCTCTCGCCTGTTGGAGGGGCCAATGCGCAGAGCACGACGCGAGCGGGGCATGACGAGAAGGGCATGACGAGCGGGGAATGACGAGCGGGGCAAAACGGGCGGGCAGGAGGAGGAGTGGAGGGTGAGGTGCAGGAGAGCACTGTGAAAGGCGCGAGCAACTACGAAAGAGTCCAAGGAAAGTGCGATTGCGTCGCGTCGCGTAAGCTCTGGTCAAATAGGTGTGCTCAGGTCGTGACTGACGAGGCGCGGTCTAGAGCCTACCCACAGAAACAGCGTGGAACCACAAAAGAGGCCCATCTGGTCGCTTCGCCGAAGGTACGCCCAGTTGTTCCCGCCACCTGCTCCCCGCGCCGTCCAATCCCAGCAAGGCGCGCTGCCAGAGGCCCATCGCCACCAATGGCGACGCGACGCCCGTTGCTGCTCTGTACGCGCCTTGAATCGCGGCGCCGACTGCGGCGTCCGCCGCCATTGCGGGACTCGACGCGTGCAGGTGGCGTGACGAGGCGGGGTGAATGGAGTAGCTGGGATCGCGCGTTGCAGACGAATGCGAGGGCGAGAAGGGTGGGGGCTGAGGTAATGGGTAGTCCCGAATCCCGATATTGGCGGTTGACGTGGTAGCGGCGGGAACTGAAGGGAAGGGACTAACCAATTGTGTGAAGAATCAAGAGGCGAGCATTTCCCATTTCAACAGCATATGCACAGGTACTGTACTTTTCGCTGGCTGGGTGTGACCCCTTACGGTATTATGAGATTTTATTAATATAAAAACAAGCTAAATCCGTGATACCTGCAATTCAATGTGTCTAGCAGCAGCATCACTTCTCTCATGAGACATGCCTGTAGATTGAACACTCTTGTTAAAATGTTTATTGGACTTAGCTTCTTCTACTCAAAAAGAGCATCAAATAGTGTACCAGTGAGCGAATGTATCTTCCTGCAAGTCGTATCATCGGCTCCAGATGAGTTCTGCGGCTCCTGAAAAATGGCGATTCTTCTTGTTGCAGTGCGACCAGCTCTAACACGCCTCCACTGTGCATTACAGCTTACAACCCAGCGCTGCTTCTCTGTGCATGGCTAAAGTAACAAGCATTGCTCTGGCTGGCACGCAATGCCAACGAGCACTGCTGCGCTGCTCAACGCACTCCCTGCACCCACACCTGTACAAGTTGATCCTGTGGTACCTGCAGTGCAGTGACGACAACGGAACGGGTACACATGGATGGTGCAGTGCAGTGCAGTGCAACGCCCTACTGTTGACTCTAGCTCACGCATGCGAGTAGCCACAACCACTCACGGGCTCCAACGCAGCCACAGCCCTTCATGCCATACTGACAGTCTACCCCCTCTCACTTACCCCCCCCACCCACTCCTCAATCGGCATCTCTTTCATCCCACCCTCAAACAAGAATATGCCGTCCATCCCACCAAGCAGTGTCACACCTGACTCGCCATAACCCCCATGCACCTCCCCTAAAGCTTCCCCTCACATGCTCGTCCAATGCAGATGATCTCAAGAGGCTTCACTGCACGCATCTCAGCAGCAGCGGCGCTGCGCCTCCCATGCCATCTCTCCCCCCCCCCAACCCCCCTGCGCCTCCCATGCCATCTCTCCCCCCCCCCAACCCCCCTGCGCCTCCCATGCCATCTCTCCCCCCCCCAACCCCCCTGCGCCTCCCATGCCATCTCTCCCCCCCCCCAACCCCCCTGCGCCTCCCATGCCATCTCCCCCCCCCCCAACCCCCCTGTGCCTCCCATGCCATCTCTCCCCCCCCCCCAACCCCCCTGCGCCTCCCATGCCATCTCCCCCCAACTCCCCTGCGCCTCCCATGCCTTCTCCCCCCAATCTCCCTGCGCCTCCCATGCCTTCTCCCCCCAATCTCCCTGCGCCTCCCATGCCTTCTCCCCCCAATCTCCCTGCGCCTCCCATGCCTTCTCCCCCCAATCTCCCTGCGCCTCCCATGCCTTCTCCCCCACCAGCCCCCCAGGTGAATGACCTCAAAAGCCCTCTGTGGGAGTCATGGCATGAAGGTCTCACCGCCCCCCCACTTCGCCGCCTCCTCCTCCCTTGCCAACCACAACACCCCGCCCTCTCCCCCCCTCTCCTGCCCAACCCCCAGGCGACTAACCTAAAGAGGCTTCGCTGCATGCATGCACCTGAGCGGCGGCACTGGCGTCATGCCATGTCATAAAGGACTCGCCGCACCCCTCTCTCCTCCTTACATGCCACCCATAAACTCCTCCCCCCCCTCTACATCCCCCCACACCCTCGTTGCAGGCCACTGACTGACCTGAAGAGGCATCACTGCGTGCGCGTGAGAGGTGACGGTGGCTTGGTCATGTCATGAAGGACTCGCCGCAGCCGCACTCCCCCTTGGCGTTGGGGTTCACAAACACAAACTCCGACCTGCATGCACCCCCGCCCCGCCCACCCCGCACATGCCATTCGCACAAATAACGGTTGGTGGAAGGTGATGAATAGGATCAGCGCAATGAATGATTTCGGAAATGACAGCAGGAGGGGGGAAGCTACGGGGGTGCACGGGGCAGCAGGGCATGGATGTGATGACGATGGTGAAGGAAGAGAGAGAGGTGGCGCAGGATGGAAGGGATAATAAATACGTGACACACGAAAAGCGAGATCAGGAAAGAGAGAGGTTGGATGCGTAAACGAGAGGGAGAGAAGGAGGAAGAGAGGGAGAGGCATAGAGAGAAACAGGCTACGAGCGGGGGAGGGTGGGAAGAGAAAGAGATGTGGGGTGGAGACAGGTGCGCGCAGCGGCAGGGGCTTGGACGGCCTTGGGACGCACTTGAGGCGGTCTTGCACGAAGTCGACGGTGGTGCCGATGACGGCCATGAGCGCCTTGGGCTCCACCACGACTCGCACGCCCTTCTCCTCCACCACCTCGTCGAACCGCCCCGGCTCGTCTGCTCCGCGCGCGCACATGCACGGCAGCGGTCGGAAAGCGAGCGGAGCGGACCATGGGGCACGGAAAATGGGAGATTGTGGCATGACGAGCGGAATGGCCTTTGGAACGGAATGACGACTGGTGTGTGCATTTAAGCGTCACCAGAGGCACGAACGGAACGACGTACGGAGAGGAATATACGAGCGTCTTTAATTGCTCCGCTAAGGTAAAGGTACGACACCGCAAGTGACCCCTAACGCGATTCCCCTGGATGATCCGACGAAAAGACATGTCCTTCAGTGTGCGAGCGCGTTGCGCGTACCGGCGTAGGAGAGCGTGTAGCTCATGCCGCTACAACCGCGCGACTTGACGCCTAGTTTGAGATACTCCTTGTTGCGCCTCGTCAGCAGCTCGCGAATCCGATCGGCCGCCGCGTCAGTGAGTTGAATCACCTGCCGCCGAGGTGCGCGCGGCTTGATCGCTGCCTTCGCGGCGGCAGCGAGCGCCGCGGTCATGACACGAGGAAGACTACGCAGTGGTGGGGAACGTGGTTGCGTGACCGACACGGAAAAGCGTGCCAGTGAACGGATAGCAGCTTCTTTAAGGGCGGAGGTTGTGGTAGAAAGGCCTCACAGCCGACAACACACGAGCCTTGAGATATGCTGTCGGTGGTTCCGGGATCAAGTTAAGAGGCACTCGAATGAACCTTTCAGGACTCAGGACCCAGCTGTCAGCAGCGGCTGGAGAATCGAAGCTAGTAACTATCGAGGCTAGAAACTATCGACGCTAGAAACTATCGAGGCTGCAGATGGTGCAGGATTCATGCACCATCATTCCTCGACCCGAGACAGCCAGGGCGTGTTCTTCCGTCTATCGACCCTGAGCAAGGCCGCTTTCGGCCTGGTTTCGACGCAAAACGCGGGATTTTAGTGCGGTGAGGTTCGAAAACCTCGATTCACAGAGGACGCGCCCTGAGGATCACCACGAAGCGAAAGTACGAGGATTTCACTATCGAGATCAAGAATAATACTCTGAGTATATTTGTAGCAGCGTTTATAGTTTTCCAAGTAGGCGGAAAATGTCTCTGACATTCAGATCACTTCTTTCCTGAATTTGCTTCAAATACAATTCGACACTCAGGTGGTTTTTCCTGTTTCCTGTTCGAAATAAATAATAATGATGATTAATACGAAATGAGAGGGAAAAATAACAAAACAAAACAAAACTGGCCAGATTGGTTGAAATAGGTTGCTCCGCAATACCACTCCCCTTCCCCCTCCCCCACATTGAGCAGCGGAGTCCAAAGAGAGCTAAATGGTGGGGGAGCGTCGGACCCTCTCAAGCGAGCTCTGCACTTTGAGGAGGGCGAGTTTGTCCTTGCCGATGCTGCTGCTCTTGATGTGGTCCGGCACGCTGTGGCGGTGCATCATCGTCACAAACTCGTTGTAGTCTATCCGGTCATCCTGTTGGCGGGTACAGGTGCAAGCGCATAGGTAGACGTGGTGTGGTGAGAGAACATGTTGCTGTAGCGGTGCATCATCGTCACACACTCGTCATATATGGGTGCATATATCCTCTCCTGTATCCTCTCCTGTATCCTCTCCTGCATCATCTCCTCCGAACTGTACTCAATACAGTGACATGAACTACGAAGTACAGTGACATGAACTACAAAGTACAGTGACATGAACGTACCTAAGTGACACACTGTACTAAGTGAACGTACCTTGTTAACATCCACCTCCTGCATCATCTCTTCCACGTTCTCCGGACCGATGCCAAACTCCTCGCACACCTGCCATGCACGCACACCCAGGCACACCCATGCACACCGAGAAGAGAAGAGAAGAGAAGAGAAGAGAAGAGAAGAGAATATAAAAAACGAGAAGGCTACTGGTATCGCAACAGAGGGGCCATGCTTTCCGGCCCGATGCCAAACTCCTCACACACCTCCCAAACTTTGTCTGTGAGGCATGCAGACCAAAACGCAGTTGCTGCAGCTGTACCTACCTGCAGTGAGATTCTCCCTCACAGCTACAAGGAAAATGCTCCCTCACACATCTCCCACCCAGGCACGGGCAATGGGAGCATGGGAGCATGAGAACACAGGGCATATGGGCATGGGGCCACACTGAACTGCTGGAAGGCCTGGTGAAGGTTCTCCTCCTTGATCCTTCCAAGGGGGGATATAACCACCACCGTGTATCGCACCTGAGTGAGCTCATCTCGCGTGATGAAGCCGCTGCCGTCCTTATCAAAGTACTGGAAGGCCTGGTGCAGGTTCTCCTCCTTGATCATGCGGTTGAGCCCCAGCGTGGCGGCAAAGAACTCGTTCATGTCTATGCTCTCACTGTCGTTCACATCCATCTGCGGGAGAGGGAGGTGTATATGTGCGGGGGATGGGAGGGGGAGAAGCAAGAAAGAGGAGAGGGATTGAGTAAAAGCCTTGACGTGGCAAAGAACTCGTTCATGTCGATGCTGTCACTGTCGTTCACGTCCATCTGCGAGGAGGGAGGTGTGGGTACGTGTGGGGGAGGTGAGGGGGAAAACCAAGAAAGAGGAGAGCGAGTGAGTGAAGCCTTAACGTGCCCCCCAAGAACTCGTTCATGTTGATGCCCTCACTGTCGTTCACATCCATCTGCGAGGGGTGTGGGGAGGAGGGGGAAAAAGGAGCAGGAGCGGGAGCAGATGAAGAGGGAGTGAGTGAAAGGCCCAGTGTGGCGGCAAAGAACCCGTTCACGTCGATGCTCTTACTGCCATTGACGCCCATCTGGGATGGCGCGGGTGTGGGGGATGGGCGATAGGGGAAAGGGAGAAAAAAGAGGAGCGGGAGAGCAGATGAAGATGGAGTGAGCAGAAGCACACGTAGAGAGGGAGTGGAAGAGATGGAGAAGACAGAGGGGCATACAAGGAGCAAAGTAGGAAACCCACCAGGGCAGCACCCAGTGAAGGCAGCACCCAGTGAAGGCAGCACCCAGTGAAGGCAGCACCCGATGAAGGCAGCACCCGGTGAAGGCAGCTCACAGCAGAGTAGGGTAGAGCTGTTTATTACCCAAAAACCAACCACGGCATACAAGCATGCAACACAAGCAAGCCAGGCGACCGACTCACAGCGGAGTAGAGCTGGTACTGCTCCCCTTGGTTCATGCGCGCGCCCATCCGCTGCAGCCCTCTTGGTTTAAAAAAGAGCGGAGCCATCCATTGGTTCAAAGCATGGCATGTAAACAACGCAAACAACGCAACTCACCGCGGAGTAGAGCTGGCGCAGCTCTACCCTACTCTGCTGTGAGCTGGGGTGGCGCAGCTCTACCCTACTCTGCTGTGAGCTGGGGTGGCGCAGCTCTACCCTACTCTGCTGTGAGCTGGGGTGACGCAGCTCTACCCTACTCTGCTGTGAGCTGGGGTGGCGCAGCTCTACCCTACTCTGCTGTGAGCTGGGGTGGCGCAGCTCTACCCTACTCTGCTGTGAGCTGGGGTGACGCAGCTCTACCCTACTCTGCTGTGAGCTGGGGTGGCGCAGCTCTACCCTACTCTGCTGTGAGCTGGGGTGGCGCAGCTCTACCCTACTCTGCTGTGAGCTGGGGTGGCGCAGCTCTACCCTACTCTGCTGTGAGCTGGGGTGGCGCAGCTCTACCCTACTCTGCTGTGAGCTGGGGTGGCGCAGCTCTACCCTACTCTGCAGTGAGCTGGGGTGGCGCAGCTCTACCCTACTCTGCTGTGAGCTGGGGTGGCGCAGCTCTACCCTACTCTGCTGTGAGCTGGGGTGGCGCAGCTCTACCCTACTCTGCTGTGAGCTGGGGTGGCGCAGCTCTACCCTACTCTGCTGTGAGCTGGGGTGGCGCAGCTCTACCCTACTCTGCTGTGAGCTGGGGTGGCGCAGCTCTACCCTACTCTGCTGTGAGCTGGGGTGGCGCAGCTCTACCCTACTCTGCTGTGAGCTGGGGTGGCGCAGCTCGCCCTCGTTCATGCGGGTGCCCATCTTCTGCAGCCCTCCTGGCTCAGATTATAAATTGCTTTGGCCAGAAACAGGCGGGCAGCAAGCCAGGCAGGCGACTCACAGCGGAGTAGAGCTGGCGCAGCTCGCCCTCGTTCATTTTGGCGCCCATCTTCTGCAGCCCGCGGCGCATCTCATCCAGGGAGAGCGAGCCGCTGTGGTCCATGTCGAGCTGGTTGAATATCTCCTTCATGCCCAGAATCTCCTCCTCCGTCAACTGCTGCGCCACCACCTGATGGACGAGGGAGCAAGGGAGGTGGCAATGTGGGGTCGGGGTGCAGGGGAGTGTGGGTTATGGCGTGGTGGTGAGCCGATGTGGCACATGTCAACTGCTGTGCCACCACCTGCCATGCGCGGTATGGAGTGGAGTAGGGTATGATGGGGATGGGTGCGGTATGGAAGGGTCTGCATGCTGACCAGCCACCTGCATTGCAAGCCCAGAATCTCCTCCTCCGTTAACTGCTGTGCCACCACCTGGTGCAGCCAGTATCAGGTAGAGCAGAGAGGGGTGGGGCAGGGTAGGGCAGAGTAGGGTAGGGTAATGTTGGGTAGGTAGAGAAGAGTAGGGTGCGCTAGAGCCAGGTAGGGCATGTGCATCTTGAGCAACCTCCCTCATGCCCTCTTGAGCAACCTCCCTCATGCCCTCATACCACGTATGGTAGGGTTTGGGTTATGGTGGGGTGGAGTAGGGTACAGTATGGTGGGGTGTGTGCAGGATGAGTTGCCATGCGGGAGGTTGAGTTTTCATGCGGCACGATGAGCAGCGCACCTGCGAGGCGAGCTTGCGGATGTGCGTCATGGCGGCGTATCGCTTGAGGCGCGAGAAGACTGCGAGGTCCAGCCATGGGCGTGTGTGATGTGATGTGATGTGATGTGATGTGATGTGATGTGATGTGATGTGATGTGATGTGATGTGATGTGATGTGATGTGATGTGATGTGTGTGGCGCCCCAACACAACACAAGCTCGTTCTGGAGAAGGGAAGAAGAAGCAGAAGCACCCTCCCTCCCCTTCATGTGATGGGACGCACCTGCGAGGCGAGCTTGCGGATGTGAGTCATGGCGGCGTATCGCTTGAGGCGCGAGAACACTGTGGGGTCGAGCGGTGTGTCCGGTGCCACGCCCGCCTCGCTCACCCACGGGTGCTCTGCCTCACAGAAGTTGTATGGGGGAGAAGGGTAGGGGGTGGGGGGTAAACGCGTATGTGGGGAGACAGGAGGGACTGTGGGGTCGAGTGGTGTGTCTGGTGCAACTCCCGCCTCGCTCACCCACGGGTGCTCTGCCCTCCCACCGGTGCCGTGGGGGGGAGGGTTGAGGGTTTGGGGTACGGGGCGAGAGAACGGGGGAGGCAAGCAGAAAAGCAGAGTTTGCGGAAGGATGGATGGGCTATTCTTGACTCTTGAGCCGGCTCAAGACCGTGGGGTCCATGGGTGTGCCTGCTGCCACCCCCGCCTCACTCACCCACGGGTGCTCTGCCTCACACGAGTATTACGCGGGAATGGGGGTAGGGGGGTAAGGGTTGCGATCCAGCATGCCCTGCACTGCACCACTTCCTTGGATAATTAACTATGCCAGGCATGGGGGTTAGTGCTCTCCTTGCTACCCACCGAGCACTTGTTTCGCGGTGAGGCGCGTCTCAGGGTTGCGGTCCAGCATGCCCTGCAGGCTGCACCACCTCCTTGGCCTGCTTGCGAATGGTAACCGTGTAACAGCCAGCCGGCCACACAACCATCAACCCACCTAGCACTTGCTTGGCGGTGAGTCGTGTCTCGGGGTTGCGATCTAGCATGCCCTGCACCACCTCCTTGGCCTGCTGCGAGATCAACGGCCACGGATCGCTCTCGTAGTCGATCTCGTCGTACATGATGGCGCAGAACAGCTCGTCCATCGTTGGTAGGTCTGTAAGGGGGACAGGGTAGAGAGGTGTGGGGGGAGGGTTTGTGAGCAGGTGTGCATCAGGTGGGCAGGTGTGCATCAGGTGGGCAGGTGTGCATCAGGTGGACAGGTGTGCATCAGGTGGGCAGGTGTGCATCAGGAGGGCAGGAGTGCATCAGGAGGGCAGGAGTGCATTAGGAGGGTGAGGATGACAAATGCAGGCTGCTTGGGGTAGCCTTCACCCACTGTCCCATAGCTCCCTCTCCTCCCTCATAATTTCTAATTCCCATCCGTTGCCCTTTCAACCCCATGCCCCCTCATCCCCATGCTATCGCATCCGTGTGGCCTCTCATCCCATGTGCCCCTTAAACTGGCCAGTGCAGAAGATATATTCTCCCAGCTGAAGAAAAACTGGAGTAAGGAGTGTATGCACACCTGCGAGAAGAGGGCAGCGTGCCTACCCATGTGAAAGGAAGCTTATTTTATTCACTCAACCTTCCCGTGGGAAGGGGGACACCCGTCCACTATCCCTCTGTCACTTCACGGGTGCAAATGAACCCCCCCCCCCCCCCCCCCCTTACTTAAGGCATACCGGTGGGGAAGGGGCAGTAGCCGCAGAGCAACATGTAGAGAATGACCCCTGCGCTCCACACGTCCACCTCAGGCCCGTAGTGGCACCCGTTGGTTCGCACCATCTCCGGGGCTAGATACAGCGGACTGCCTGCCAAGCCCGCTGATATGGGCTCGCCTGGTGGTGAGGGGAGAGGGGAGGTGAGAGGAGAAGGGCACGAGGTGAGAGGACAATGGCACGAGATGAGAGGAGCAGGGCACGAGATGAGAGGAGCAGGGCACGAGGTGAGAGGAGAAGGGCACGAGGTGAGAGGAGCAGGGCACGAGATGAGAGGAACAGGGCACGAGGTGAGAGGAGCAGGGCACGAGGTGAGAGGAGCAGGGCACGAGGTGAGAGGAGCAGGGCACGAGGTGAGAGGAGCAGGGCACGAGGTGAGAGGAGCAGGGCACGAGATGAGAGGAGCAGGGCACGAGGTGAGAGGAGCAGGGCACGAGGTGAGAGGAGCAGGGCACGAGGTGAGAGGAGCAGGGCACGAGGTGAGAGGAGCATGTCATACCTGCAACGTTCTGATTCACACATGAAGATTTGATCCACACTGGCTCTCTTAACAACGCTCTAAGCTAGCGCGTGACCAGGTCCTTTTCCGCCATCATTCCACGGAGTTTGTCTCGTTGCCCTAAAACAACAAGAGTTGATGGAAATAAGGCCTCCGCAGCCCACCTGTGTGCTTCTGACAGCTCCTGGGGTGAAGAAAAGCGAGCCAGCCAAGGGCCTTTCCCTACCTGGGGTGAAGAGAAGCGAGCTTAGCTTAGGGCCTTTCCCTACCTGGGGTGAAGAGAAGCGAGCTTAGCTTAGGGCCTTTCCCTACCTGGGGTGAAGAGGAGCGAGCTTAGCTTAGGGCCTTTCCCTACCTGGGGTGAAGAGAAGCGAGCTTAGCTTAGGGCCTTTCCCTACCTGGGGTGACTTGGCACTCGGGTCCCATTCCAAGCCAAGGGGCTTTCTGTACCAACCTGGGGTGAAGAAGAGCGAGAGGCCGAAGCCGATGGTCTTGAGCGGCGCAGGCGCAGCAAGGGACTCTCACTTGAGCGGCGCAGCGACGGGCGGGCGGGGCCCTCTTTGATTGGAATGGGCCACACATGACTGCCGCTGCTTTGGCAAAGAAGGCGCTTCACATCACAGCTTGGCATGGCACTAAGGTAAGGCCAAAGGGGCTTTACTTTCCGTACCCACGCACCTGGGGTAAAGAAGAGCGAGAGGCCGAAGTCGATGGTCTTGAGCGGCGCGTCGTCGCTGCGGTTGGCAAAGAGGAAGTTCTCCGGCTTGAGGTCGCGGTGCACCACGTTCATGGTGTGGCAGTAGTGCACCACTGATACGATTGTGCTGATCAGACGTGCTGCGTCGCACTCACTGAAAGGGAGAGGGGTGACACAATGGAAGGAAAAAGGAGTTCTCGGGCTTGAGGTCGCGGTGCACCACGTTCATGGTGTGGCAGTAGTGCACCACCGACACTATCGTGCTGATCAGCCGTGCAGCGTCGCACTCGCTGCAAGCAATACGAGGAGAGGGACGGAAAGGAATTTGTTGGGCTTGAGGTCACGCCTCCATGGCACAGCTCCCCTCCCCCCATGGCACAGCTCCCCTCCCCCCATGGCACAGCTCCCCTCCCCCCATGGCACAGCTCCCCTCCCCCCATGGCACAGCTCCCCTCCCCCCATGGCACAGCTCCCCCCATGGCACAGCTCCCCCCATGGCACCAACTCACAAACCCAGAACCCACTTGTAGTGCCCCTTGGCAATGATGCGGTCGTACAGCTCGCCGCCATGGCACAACTCCATGACAATCGCGACCAACTGACCAACCAACCCCGTCAAACCCATCTGCACCGCCCCCCTCACCTGTAGTGGCCCTTGGCGATAATCCTGTCGTACAGCTCCCCCCCATGGCACAGCTCCATGACAATGGCGACAGTCTTGGAGTCCTCAAAGGCCGCCTGCACCTGCACCACGTGGGGGTGGCCCGCGAGGTGGTACAGAATGCCCACCTCACGCCCATGCTCTTTCACCCAAAACCCACCTGTAGTGGCCCTTGGCGATGATGCGATCATACAGCTCGCCCCCATGGCACAGCTCCATGACAATGGCGACAGTCTTGGAGTCCTCAAAGGCCGCCTGCACCTGCACCACGTGGGGGTGGCCCGCCAGGTGGTACAGAATGCCCACCTCGCGCTTCACCTCCGCCAGTGGCGTGCCCAGCATGAGCAGCCGCGTCTTGCTCATCTGCTTCACCGCAAACTCCTTCCCCGTCGCCCGCTGCCGGCACCGGTACGTCGACCCAAAGTGCCCCTCGCCCAGCTTCTCCCCCAACTCGTACTCCTCTGTCAGGGAGCCTGGAGAAGGGGGGAAGGAAGGGGGGGGGGGGGGGGGAGTGACGTGGGGAGGGGATTGATTGGTGGGGAGGTGGGTTGGAGGGCTATTGGGTTCGCCCAGCTTCTCCCCTAGCTCGTACTCCTCTGTCAGACAGCCTGGGAAGTGGGGGAAAACGGGGACGGGGGAAGGAGAAGGGGGGGAGGGGGCCGGGAAACAGTGGTGGGGGAGGGTGGGGGGAGAGAGCGGGAGAGTTAGGGGGAGAGGGAGAGAGGAGGGGGGGCGGAACAGGAGGGGTAAAAGTAGAGGAGGGTGGGAGCATGAGCAGGCGCGTCTTGTCTGCTTCGCGACAAACTCCCTCCCATCGCCTGCTGCCCACTAACCACGACACGAGGTGGTAGAGAATCTAAATCTCGCGCTTCACCTCCACGACGGGCGTACTCCAACTCACGAGTGTTGAAGCTGAGAATGTGCTGCTGCTCCATGTGCGGCATGGCATGCTCATGGCAATTGCCTAGGCCCCTCTCCTCACAACATGGCCTGCCCAGTGGCCAGCAGCAGCAGCCCAGCGTCATCATCACCAGCAGCCCCAGGTCACCCACTGCATTGAAGCTCAACACGGGCTGCCCTGCGTGTGGCGGCATGCTGACTGACTAGTGGTCACCGGTGTTGAAGCTGAGAGCAAGGCAGTGACATCCAGCTCTCATCGCAGCAGCCACACACACGCGCACACGGACACACAGACAGCTCACTCACCGGTGCTGAAGCTGAAAATGGGCTGCCCAGCATGCGGCATGCTCTTGGCGATGGGGCGCCCCCCTCGCACGAGCACGGGCTGTCCACCACCCCCGTCGTCATCCTCCCCATTGCGCCGGTCTGTCGACTCCCGTGCCGACCCACCCACCGTGCTCTCCAAGCTCCGCCACTCTGCAGGGGGAGAGAGGGGAAAAGAGGGGAGCTGTCTGTCTGTCTGCCCACCCCCGACCTCATCATCCCCATTGCATCGGTCTGTCGACTCCCGTGCCGACCCGCCCACCATGCTCTGCAGGTTCCGCCACCCTGCAGGGGGAAGAGGCGGAGGGGGAGGGGAGGGGGGGTCCGGGGGGGAAGGGAGAGAGTGGCGGGGGAGAGAGGGGGTTGGGCGGGGGAGACAAGGAGGGGCCAGTCTGCATGGGTTTTAAAGTCGTGCCGCCACACTGCCGCCCCGCCCATCGTGCTCTCTCGGTTCCGCCACCCTGCACGCACGGACGCTGATAGGCGGACATGGGAAGCGGGAAGACGGGAGAGGAGGGGATGAGGGGAGAGAGGAGGGGGAGCGGACGGGGTTTGGGGTTGGTGAGATGGTGGGGAGAGGGGGTGGAAATGACGAGGGGGAGGAATGTGCGGGCGGACGTTATTGCGCGCGCGTACGCTATGGCTCGGGCGCGCTGGTGGCGCGAGAGCGAGCGGTCCAGCACGCGGTGGCAGTACAATGCGCAGCGGGCGACGTGAGGGGGAGGCGACGTGAGGGGGAGGTGACATGAGGGGGGGGCCGACATGAGGAGGGAGGGGGGGGGGGGGGGGGGGGGGGGAGGACGTGAGGGCCCAGCATGCGATAGCAGCAGTTCAAACACAACGGGCGATGGTTTCGGAGGGAGGCGATGAGGCGAGAGATGATTGTTTAGGCGCGACAGAAATGAGTGTGTGAGCTTCTTCCCGGGGATCAGCTCTGGCATCATCGCTTGCCTCCTCGCTGAGCGTCGGCCGGCGAATACCTGCTCGTGACATTGCTTGAACGCGTTATTGTCAGACCCGCTTGTCACTTTCCGGAGATTCGTGCGGCTCTTTGGCTTTGTCGGGGCGAGCACGGATGGTAGTACCAACGAAGACGGAAGTACTAACGAGGAGGGTGGTAATAACGAGGATGGTGGTACTAACGAGGATGGTGGTACTAACGAGGATGGTGGTACTACTAACGAGGAGGGCGAGAAGAATGGTCGGTAGCGATAACGGCGGTAGTTCCGAGGGAAGCACGACGGCGGGCCTCTCCAATGCGCTAAGCGGGTTACAGTTCGTGGAGATATTAGGTTGACCTTTAAAGCTATTAATTGTCACACCTAACGTCAAAACTAGCGCCAGTCATAAATAACAGCTATCGCGGCAGCAGGCGTTGTCGAAACGTGCGATTGTCAGAGCTAACGGCGAGCGGCTAACGGTCAGCGGAAGCACTGCATTGTGGGTCGACTCGACACGCGATGGCCAGCTTCGGAAGCTTTGAATAAACTGCGGTGTGAAGGCCAAGCACAAGGCAGGTAGTATGGCACGTGCATCCGCCACGGGCACTGAACTTTTCTTACTCGTGGCACTGTATTGGAACGTGTGGATGGCACGTATTACCCCTCTATCGAGTTCCACATTTACAATGATCGCATAAAGCCATTGGTATCGTTCTGCAGGCATCACGGAGGGAAGGGGAGGGATAATAGGAAGCTGCCTGAATCTGCAATTTTAGGTTCGAAAGAGCGGTCAGCCCGGAAATGATGACGTGGCAGTCATTTCCAACAAAATACCCTGGTACAGTTAAGCACAGACTTGAATTACCCCTTTGATGGGGGCGTGAAATTCAGCGAGCGGTTCGTCATTTCGCTCGGGAAACTACCACCCCACGTGGCGAAATTTCCCATCTCGCTGTTTGCCGGGGGGGAGAGAAAAGCGCCCTCGGAACCCACGTCGGAACCATCATCATTTCCATTTCCCTCCCTCCACCCTCCCCCGTCAGGTGCCTGCAGAACGATACCATTATTGGCTGCGTTCTGCAGGCATCTCCCTTCGGAGAGAGGTGGGGGCGAAAAGGGAAATGATGATGGTTCCTACGCAGTTTCCCCATCGAATCCCTCCCCCCCCCCGCTACAACCGAATGTTGGAAATTTCCGGTTTCGGGTGCGAAGCTGCTGAAGGTAAATGCCGAAAAAACAGCTACAATTTCCTACGCACAAAAGTTGGGTAGAGAGAACTAGGCAAACTCATAAAAAGGGTTGAAGTTTGTCACAGGGCTACCACGTAGAGAAAAAAACGCACCCAAGCACTCCCTCCAGCAAACCCAGTTTGAGGAGGTTGATGGCTTCTGTTTTTTTTACCTAGGTTGATGCGTCCCTGTTTGGGCTACTTAAAAAGGGGGCTGTTTGCTTTCTTGGGTTCAACCTGAAGGAATATTATGGAGAGCACTACGACGGCGAGAGAGATTCTGCTTATGGGAATGATGTTGCGCTAGGAATTCGGTAGCGTTTGGGTAGCGTTGGTCTCAAATGACTAAGTGAGAATTTGAGTAGAGATTGGACTTCACTAGGAAAATAGAATATATGAAACACACAAGCAAACACAAACATATAAAGGCAAGCAAGCGTTCACAAAAGGTAGCGAGGGCGCTGCGAGTAACCCAACCCACACGAAAGTGCTGTGGGAGTTGGCGAACGCGCCCCGCCAAACTTCCATCCAACTCAGCAGCGAAAACCTTCCGAGCACGCAACTCCATCCGACTCAGCTTGGGAGTGGCGTGCCTCATAAGGAAGCACACAAAGACTCCCACGACTCTACTTCCCAGCACCGACTTCAGCAGATTCCTTACTGCAGCTCGCATTCACCCGTAGTCACACTTGACTGCCATCGAACCTGTGCGACGGTGCCGAGTAGACCAGGTCGTCGGTCGTCAACCTGCCAAGTCTAACATTTCGCGAGGGCCCTTGCTGTCGTAGGGCCCTCTAACACTCCCCTGCCATACTACAGCAAGGCCCTTTATAATCACAGGGCATGCATAAACACATACACACCAAACAAAGGGAAACACACACAAACGAAGCACTCTCAAAGTGCAAACACGCACCGCACCAGCCATGGATAGGCCATGGCACCATCCACATCACGGAGTGTCTAGGTCTCACTCCCCTCGCTCGAGAGCCTCACCTGCCCCACAGCCTCGAAGCAACGACTGAAGGCGGGGAAATGCAATGCCTTGGTAAGGTAGTCAGCAGGCTGCTCGCTCGTAGGGATGTACTGCAGCTGCAGCTTCCTGCGCTTGACCATGTGCTGCAGCCACATGTGACGACGCTCCATGTGCTTGAGGCTCCCCTTGAGCCCCATGCCACCTGCCACTGAAATGGCGGAGGAGTTGTCCACAAAGAGAGTAGTGGGAACCTCACTCCTCAGCAGTTGAAACTCTGCCAGCAGGAAGCGCAGCCGACGCGCCTCCTTCCCCGCCTCCACAGCAGCAACGTACTCAGACTCAGTGGAAGAGAGGGTGGCGCAACGAATCCTCTGGCTCGCCCACGAGACAGCAGCACCTCCGAGCACGAAGACATAGCCACCAGTGCTAGTCCTGTTCTGCTTGTCTCCCGCATCATCCGCATCGGCATAGCCCACCAGCTCCAAGGACTCAGGCCCACCACCAAACTCCAGCGCAACATCCCTGCTCCCCACCAAGTACGCCAAGCACCGGTCCAACTCCTTCCAGTGCTGGTCACTCCGCACAGTCTGGCCTGACCCCAGCTTGCTGCAGGCAAAGGAGATGTCGGGACGAGTGGTACAGGCTGCGAACTGCAAGGATCCCACCTTCTGCCTGTACTCCTCCTCCTGGCGAGACTGCCATCCCGCATCCTCAAAGGTCTGCACACTGAAAGGGTCAGAGGAAAGGGGGGTGCGAGGCACTCGCAGCGGCTGCTCCCCGTCGAAGAAGCGCCTATGGACCTTGTCCACGTAGGCCCCCTGGTGCAGCCACAGCCTCCTCGTAGGCCTGTCCCGAATCAGCTGCAGCCCCAGGTACTTCTCCACAGGGCTAATCTCCCGCAGCTGAAACGCACTCTGCAGCAGCTCACGTAGCTCCCCCAGCATGCTCTGACTGCGGCTGGCAGCAAGCAAATCATCCACATACACCAGCAGCCAGCACATCTCCCCGTCAGCATCACTCTTGAAGTACAAAGCCTCATCCACTTTGCTCTTCTTCCATCCAGCCCCAAGCAGCACCCCATCCAAGGCCTCATACCACAGCATCGGGCTTTGCTTGAGGCCATACAGACTCTTCAACAACTTACAGACACGAGGAGTCCCATCCTCGTAGTAGCTCGGCTGCTCCATGTACAGGTCTCGGTCCAGCACGCCATGGAGGAACGCATTCTTCACATCTAGCTGCATCAGCTCCAAGTCAAGTGCAGCTGCGATCGCCAGAAGTACGCGCGCCGTCACATAGCTTCCCACGGGGGCGTACGTCTCCTCATAGTCCACCCCTGCCACCTGCGTGAACCCCTTCACCACCAGCCGCGCCTTCTCACGCTCCACTACCCCATCAGGTCGGAACTTGGTGTTCAGGATCCAGCGGTTCTTCATCACATTCACCCCTGGCGGACGCGGAACCAACTCCCACGTCCCCTGCTCAATCAAGCTCCGCATCTCCTCATCCATCGCCTCCTTCACCTTGTCGCCCTTCCAGCAGCCCAAGGCCTCCTTCACTGTCATCTTCGCTATATCCCACTGCCTCTCAGGGTCAGCCACCACGTCAGGGTCCAGGTCCGTCCACTCTTCGTCCTCCTCCTCGTCATCCAATCCCGCCGGCTCAATCACTAAAGCCCAAGCATACTTAAGAGGCGGGATACCACGGGTGATGCGAGTGGAGCGACGCAGTGGCGCAGTGATCGTCCCAGAAGCCAACACACGACCACCATCTCTGATTCCCCACAGCTCCTGCTCCCCTGTCTGCGGCTCCCCTGTCTGCTGCTCCCCTAGCTGCTGGTCCACCATCTGCTGCTCCTCAATCTGTTCCTCCCCTATCTGCTGCTCCCCACTCTGCTGCTCCCCTAACTGCTGCTCCCCTATCTCCTGCCCCCCACTCTGCTGTACTCCATCCATGCTGCTCTCGTCCTGCAGCTGCTCAGTCTCAAGGCGCTGCCCGTCGGTGATCTCCACAGACGGTGGCACCACGATCCCCCCCTCACCAACGGGCGGCGCCGTGGAAGATGAAGAGGAGGGTGGAGCAGGTGCAGGAGGGATGGAGGGTGGAAGGGGAGAGGGAAT